TNNGTAATTACTTGGTTTGTTGCGTTCACACTTAAAGAGTTGGTTAATTACGGTACCGCCCCTAGTGTGAACACTCGCAGTATATAAACAACCTCGTCCTGCTTGTGTTCACACTAGGGGCGGTACCGTAATTACTTGGTTTGTTGCGTTCACACTTAAAGAGTTGGTTAATTACGGTACCGCCCCTAGTGTGAACACTCGCAGTATATAAACAACCTCAAGCAGGACGAGGTTGATTCATATACTGCGAGTGTTCACACTAGGGACGGTACCGTAATTACTTGGTTTATTAATGAGATGCGTTTCAGTGAGAAAGGTTCTCAATGAAAGAAATAAGAATATATCGCAGTCATTAGATTAGATGATCCAACGGCAAGAAATAAACAACTTTTTTTTACCTTCATTAATGGTAATTTAGACATTAAATACAACTACATCCACATGTGGGTCCCATCCAACCACACCCCACTAGGCCACTACCCTCTCTCACACGCACTAACACACAATGCTCATGCATCACACACACGCACGTTCACATCGCACACACACATCACACACAATTATCGCACAAAAAACATTAATCTGTCCGGCTACCCTCACCACCGTCGTGGCGTCGTCGCCGCCGTCGCCATGTCTGTCGGAGCATCCCACCGCCGTCGGAGTCCACTGTATACCTACCATCATTCTTCCGCGCCAGAGCATAATTGTCGCCGTCGGCTGCCCTCCACGCAAAATCCCTCGACGCGACGTTCGACTGTGCCCCTTCGCCGAGCGCCTGTGTCGTCCCCCGACGACGACGTGCCTCGTCGTCCGTGACATCGCCCCTCGCCCCTTGCCCGTCGCCATTATCCCTGACTAGCACCGTTCCATACATCGGAGGACGCGTCGGCGACTTTATCCGCCCTCCCCGTCGCCGTATCCACTCGCCATCAGTAGATCCAGATTGCAATTAACCATCCATCAAAAAACTTGAAATTAGGGAGGGTGAATGATTCTAGAAATTGGGGCTGGGCAATTTTGTTGAGAATTAAACAATTCAAAAGAACCTATTTGCAAATTAAGAAATGTTAACTTTATTAGAATTAAGTTCATTGGTTGAATTTATAAATTAATAAAACTCAATAGTTGCATTTGTAAGTTGGAATTTTTATGTGTTAATCCAATTGTTCATTTTTACCTTAAAAATTCAATTATCTCGATTCGATGTCGTATTTCTTTTTAATAACCGAACCGACCGAACTATAAGAAAAAAATATATTACCTTTTTATATATTTGTTATACACATATATATGTTATATTTTCAACAAAAAATAATAGATATTAAATAAAAATAAATTACTAAATAAATTGTTATAAATATAAAATAATAAATCAGTTTGATTATTTACGTATTCCATTAGCCAACCGAATAAAGCAATTAGTTCAGTTCGATTTCAGTTTAGATTACAAAGAAAAAAAAATGCAGAATGTACAACAATATTCACATTAGTGGCTATTATATTGCACACTAATGTCAGACAGAATGCACATTAAAACATTCGAGAACGCACGTTAGCATAACATTGTGCATTTTCACATATATTAGAATTTTGGGTATTTCATTTTGGTTACGGCTTTAATTTATAATAAATAAATAACAAAAACAATCGAAGTATATATAAAAAAATATTTTAATATTTTATATAATATTAAATAAAAAATAAATACTAACTATATTATAATTATGTAAATAAAATTGATAAATGCACAATAATGTTAATTAAATACACATTATTAAATTTTTTTAAAAAATTAAATGCACATAAAATAATGTCCGATCAATAGACTGCACAATAATGTTAAACTAAATACACAATAACATCTATAAAAATGCACATTGTTGATTTTAGTATTTCATACATTATGTTTTTTCAAGAAAACTTAAAATTAAAAAAATATTACAATAATATATAATTTTAATACAAATAACAAATTATTTTAATTATTTAAGGTAATTCGGTTAACCGACCGACATAACCAAATAGGTTTGATTTCAACTTATTTTGGAACAAAAAGCTCGGTCAAAACCGTGTAGTGTTAGACAATTTGTACATTAATAACGGATAGATTGCACATTAGTGACTAAAGCCGACCGAACAAATTGTTTCGGTTGGAATTTTATATTTTAGTTCAATTATCTGTTCTTATTTTTGTTTAAATATGATTATTTTGGTTTTATTCAAGGCCATGCGGTCTGAATTTTTTAGCCTGTGGCGTATGACCAATACATGTCTGGATTTCAGCAGTGCATACTATCTATAGCCGGAAGACCAGACGGAGGTGGTGAATCGCTCGTTGGGGAATTTGCTCCATTGTTTGGTCGGCGATAACCTTCAGAGTTGGGACCACCGTTTGAGCCAGGCCGAATTCGCGCATAATTCAGCCGTGAGTCGAGCCATCGAATTTTCCCCCTTCCAGACGGTTTATGCTGTGCAGCCATGCGGTCCTTCCGACTTGCTCGCCTTGTCGTCCGCCGCTTCCGTCGATCGGAGGGATGTTGACCTTATCGCAGATTTCAGTTGACCCATGCTGCGGCTCGGGATTGTTTAGAGACGACAACAGCGTCTTATAAGCGTCAGACGGACGCTCGCCGTCGGCACGTGGAGTTCGAGGTAGGCGACTTTGTTTAGGCGACTTTGATGAAGGATAGGTTTTCAGCCCATGATTATAACAATTTGTCTGATCGGAAAATCAATCCGGTCGAGGTGATTGAGAAGATCAACTCGAATGCTTATCATCTCCTGCCTTCCATTGCATATTCGCACTTCTGACATTTTCAACGTCAAACATTTGGTGCCATTCACCGGTGACAACTCAGATGGAGACGAGATCGGTTCGGATTCACGACCGAATCATTTTCAACCGGGGGAGGATGATGGAGAAGAGACCACGATCACATTCTTGAATAAATATGATCGGCTCCATATTTAGTTTAATTATTTTCTAGTATTATTCATAATTTTATTTTATTTTCTTAATTATTTAATTAGTATTGGTTAGTAAATAAATATCTGGCCTAACTTATTAGGCAAGATAAGTAGAATTAGAAGAGATATGATTCTATATATTGTCTTTCACCTGCTCAAAGCCGATTGGCTAGTACATCAGTTTATTAAAAATCTTGCAAATTTTATCTCGTATCTCCCAATTGTCTACCTATGTTCTACATCAATTCCTTAAAATTAGAGCATTTCCAATGCTCAAATGTTGTTGTGGTAAATTATATTATACATCAACATATTTGGCAATGTCACAATTTTTTATCCTCCAATGTACAATGTGATTATAATTGTTTTGATGATGTGGACATAATTAATGTCTACAAGGAGAATAATGTGGTTCATCCACATTCTCTTCCACACTCTAGCGCCAATGAAGAGAAGAGAAATAATTATTCTTACCATTTCCAAATTATTTAATTATTCAATTAATTGACTTACTACATATTATAAAGTTTTAATATTTAGTAAGTAGATAATATTGTAGTTAGACTACATTGTGCATTAGAAATAATTTTTTAATTCAATAGTTGTTAACTTAATATTTTTTCTACATAGTTCACAATTTATTTGATTTATTGACATTTGTCAAAATTTATCTTATAACAACATTAGAACGATGCTCGTAGGTGCGAATACTGCGTACAATGTCGTAACCCTCAAATTATGTTCCCATAAACCCTCATATTTCAATCGTGTGAATTTGTTTCCAAAAAAGCTCTAATTAGCCGACACTAACTAATACTAAAGCGAGATTTAAATAAACAAATCTCTTAATCTAGTCCCAATCCCAAATTCTAGGGTTTCCAGCCATGGGTGACGAAACTCCATTGCCCCAATCCGCAATCCAACGAATACAGTCTCTTTTAACCCGAAAAGAGGCTGGTCGGACGGCCACTCTCTCAACATCCTGGCACATCGCCTGGCTGACTCGCCTACACGTCGACCTCGATGAGAGCGATTTTGGGTATCGTCCCGCGATTGATAAGTTCTCTGTCTTCGCAAAGAAAACCGTGCAAAGGTACGAGGATTCGAACCTAAAGATTGAGAGTTTCAGGTTAAGAATGGACTATTCTGAGCGGTATAAATGGGACGATAATTTTATCGGCCTTGCTTACGAGTTGATCGTAAAAGCGTTGAGATTGGGCGCGACCCGTCTCGATCTACAGCTCACGGGTTTTTAGGACGAGGGACCCATTTTGCCGCACGAGGTTTTCGAATCTGAGAACCTTGTCGAGTTATCTGTGGAAGGCTATTTCATTCATGATCTCGTACTGGATCAAAGGGTAAGATGTTCGAAGCTTGAATCCCTTACTTTAAATGACGTGATGATTAAACGCCATATGTTCTCCTGCATCGTTTCAGCCTGCCCCTTGATTAAAAAATTATCACTCTGCAATATTAAGTGCCTTGGTCAGGTTTGTGATTATTTGATCGATTTTCACAAGCTGACGTCCCTCAAGCTTCAAAATGTGCCTTTGGATCTCGCGTTTCTGGATGATTTATCCTTTATATTTCCTGATTTGAAGGATTTATCCTTGGAGTTGTGCAAATTTGGTGATAAAATACAAATCTGCAGCCACTCTCTCGAGCGTCTGGAATTACTCACCGAAGATAGAGAGAAGCCGACCATCGTACTTGATGCCCCACGCATTCGTAAATTTACATTCAAATGTTTAGATATTCCTTCTGTCGTTTTCAAATCAGATTCAAAGGAATTGGACAAAACGCGTGTATCCATTGCGTGTTATTGTTTTACACATTGGTGGTTTCTTGATGTGAGCAAGCTGTTGACCGAGTGAGGCAGTCAAAAATTTCTCTCCATCTCTCAGTCAGGATATCTGTGGATATGTCTGATTATGAGGTAAAAGACTTGGATGGTTTGCCCTCTAGGCACTTATTGGAACATTTGATAGTGGAAAGGGTCTATATGGAGTCTTTGACTTGTTATGCGTTTTATGATGCATTTTTCCTGTTGAAGATCTTAGCTCAATCGAGAAGAGAGAGAACAGAAAACTGAAAATGATTATGGTCAACTAACTGTCCCGCTTCTCATTAATCACGTATTTAACATGCAGAGTTAAGTACAAGACGACACCGTTTAATCATAAAGGAAACGGTGTCGTATCAACCAAAAACTAAAGGAAATCGTTAAAGGAAAAAAAAACGTGAAAAGAAAAGATACAATTGTGGCCCACGTATGAAAGCAGAATACAAAATATGTAAATGATCAACCATTAAATTCCTAAACTCCAACACCCTCCCCTCAAGTTGGGCGTGGGAAAACGTGAAGCATGCCAAACTTGGACAACAACAGACAAAAATGAGGGCCAAGCAAAATCTTGGTAAACAAGTCAGCGAGCTGCATGCGAGTAGAAACGTAGGTGGGTAGAACAAGCCCATCCTTGAACTTGTCTCGAACTAAGTGACAATCGATTTCCAAATGCTTCGTGCGTTCGTGAAACACAGGGTTAGCAGTGATATGTAAAGCCGCGTTATTATCACAAAACAAAGGAATAGGAAGAGCAAGCTGAAGAAGAAAATCTCGAGCAATGTAAGAAATCCACAGTAGTTCAGAAACAGTAGAAGCTAATGCACGGTATTCGGCCTCGGCTGAGGACCGAGAAACGGTTTGTTGTTTCTTGCTTTTCCAAGAAATGAGGGAGCCACCAAGGAACACACAATAACCTGTTATGGACCGTCGAGTGTCTTTGCATGCGGCCCAATCCGCATCACTGTAGGCAATGAGTGTAGGACTATGGTCTTGGGGAAAACACAAACCCAATGAAGAAGATCCTTTGAGATATTTCAAGATATGAAGTGCAGCATCCCAGTGAGAGGTGTAAGGATTACTGACAAATTGACTAAGCTGTTGCGTGGCATATGTAATGTCAGGCCTTGTCAAATTAAGGTAGAGCAAACGACCAATGAGTCTTCTGAAAGGATCTGGGTGTTCTAATTGTGTGCCATCTTGAGTTTGCAGTTTCAGGCCATGTGGTAGTGGGGTAGCAGCCTCAGTACAATCAAGCATGTGCATATCTCCCAAAAGGTCTAATATGTATTTTCTTTGACTAAGAAGTGTGCCGTTGGCGTCAGAGATTAACTCAATGCCCAAAAAGTATTTGGCTAACCCCAAGTCCTTGATAGTAAATTCTTTGTGTAAGAAGTCTTTGAACTTAGAGATAAGTTTTTCACAAGAACCTGTTATTAAAACATCATCTACATAAACTAGGATAGCCAAAAAATGACCCCCAGCCTGCATGGTGAAGAGACAATGATCATGCACAGATTGTATGAGTCCAAATAAGGAAAGCTTTCTACACAACTCATTATTCCATTCCCTTGAGGCTTGCTTGAGCCCATATAAGCTCTTGTGTAACTTGCATACCTGTCCTTTTGAAGCTGCTTTATATCCCAAAGGTGGCTCCATGTATACTTCCTCACTAAGAAAACCATGTAGAAATGCATTATTAACATCCACTTGATACAAGTTCCAACCTTTCATTGTAGCTATGGAGATGAACATTCTCACAGTGACCATTTTTGCCACTGGGGAGAAACTATCAAAATAATCCACTCCTTCAATTTGGTTGTATCCTTTTGCAACCAATCGAGCCTTAAACCGATCTACAGATCCATCAGGCTTTCTTTTAATTTTGTACACCCACTTACTACCAATTGCTCTCTTCCCTTCAGGTAAGGCAATAATAGACCATGTGTTGTTCTTCTCTAGGGCCACAATCTCCTCATCCATAGCCTGTACCCAAGCTGGGTGTTTGTGAGCTTGCCCATAAAATAATGGCTCTTTCTCAATTGCTAAATTTGCAAAGAAAGTGTGACTGTTAGGAAATGAGGAAATTTGTGGAGTAACAATGGCATTGCAGTCATAATCCTCAAGCCACTGAGGCTCTCTTCTTTGTCTTGTGCTTCTTCTTGGTAAGATAGATTGATGAGGCAGACTTGCTACCTCAAGATCATTATCTATATCCTGTGGCAAAATATCCTCCTCAGGACAAGATTGTGGCAGAACCCATTCACTTGTGTTTGGCTGTGGCAGGGAAAAAGGAAAGACGTCCTCAAAAAAGGTCACATCTCTGGATATGAATACCTTTTTATCCTTTAGATCATATAATTGGTACCCTTTCTTTCCTGCTGCATATCCCAGAAATATACTTTTTATACCTCTTGGATCCAACTTAGATTTAGAGGGCAAGACATTTGCTGCAAATGATAGGCATCCAAAAGGTTTCAGTTTCTCATAGTTTGGCTGTTTATGATATAATCTCTCAAAAGGAGTTTCCCATTGTAAAACAGAACTTGGAACTCTATTTAAGCTGCCGTAAGCACTGCAAAAGGCCAAAAATGCAAAGGCAATGCAGCCTGAAAAACTAAACTTCTAGCCACTTCAAGAAGATGTCTATGCTTTCGTTCCACAACCCCATTTTGTTGGGGTGTGTATACACATGTGGTCTCATGCACAATACCCTTTTCAGTCAAGAAATGTTGTAGATTCCTGTCCAAAAATTCAGCCCCATTATCTGATCTCACCCTTTTAACCCCACAATTGAATTGTGTTTCCACCATAGAAATAAAAGACTTCATCAAGTGTTGTGTCTGTGATTTATGCATCATTAAGAAGACCCAAGTGCCTCGACTGAAATCATCCACAATAGTAAGAAAGTAGGGAGTATGCGTTAAAGACTTTTCTTTACATGGCCCCCAAATGTCAACATGAATTAGCTCAAAAACCATCTTAGTCTGTATACTGCTATTTGGAAACATCAACCTGTGTTGTTTTGATTGACAGCAGATCTCACAGGATTTGATAAGTTTTGCACCAGCCTTATTACATTTGTCTTTCAGAAAGTTCATATGATTCATGGCTGAAAATGAAGCATGTCCTAGGCTATTATGCCAAGTTTCTAAAGAAAAATTACAAGGTATAACAGCTTCCTTGTCTTCATCATCTTCATAGATGTACAGATTCCCCTTTAGCTTTCCTAGCTTTAGTATCCTTTCACTCTTCAGGCCCTGTAGGTAGCAATTTGTACCAGTAAAGATCCACTTCATCTCACTATTTGCACAGAATTGGAGCACTGATAAGAGATTATACTTGAATGTGGGCACAAACAGCACATCATGTAAAACTACATCTCCCTTTAAAACAACTTCACCTTTGTATTCTACTGTTTTAGTGGTTCCATCAGGTAAGCATATAGAGACATTAGTTTTAAGTTTTTCCATATTTTTCATCAATGTAGCTTTTGTGCAAATATGCCTACTTGCACCCGTATCAATGATCCATTGTCCTTTATCTATAACACTCAAGGCAGAGAGAGCATAATGAACATTATTACTCTCAGTTGTACCTGCAAAACTGTCAAACTGAGCATAATCCATTTGTCCCTGCTCTCCCTTTCCTTTGAGATATTGAGTTAACTCTTGCAGCTGAGTGAGCATTAAACTGAAGTCTTCTTGTTTCATACCATCTTTGCAGCCAACATTTTGTTTGAGTGTCTCTTCTCCTCCTATCATCTCAGTGTTGTTCACATAAGCTTTTGCTCTTTGATCTTTAAGTTCCTTGTACCAATCTGGAACCCCATGAATCTTGAAACAGGTAGTTATTGAATGGCCTGTCATCCCACACTTATCACAGTGAAGTTTAGCCCTCTCTTCCTTGCTTAACCTATTATTTCCTTTCCCTTTACCACTATTCCACTGATCTCCTCTTCCTCTACCAAAACCCCTTCCTTGGCCAGTCATTAACTTTCCATACATATCAGTTTTAGCTAGCATAGCAACATTCTCTATCCTGTCTCCATATGCAGTTTGCACTGTCTTTTGTCTCTCTGCACTCATCATCATAGAATAGGCCTTGTTGACAGAAGGCAAGGGATCTAAGAGCATGATCTGACTCCTTGTGTGCTCATAACTCTCATTTAACCCCATTAGAAATTGAATCAGCTTCGTTTCTGCCTCATATTGAGCTGTGGCTCTTCCTTTCTCACAGTTACAGGTTTGAGTGGGTGCAATGCATGCCAATTCATCCCACAATTTTTTAAGTTTATTGAAATATTCCATAATCGAGTTGTTTCCCTGATTTAGGTTAGATATTTCTCTCTGGAGTTTATATTTCATTGGACCATTACTTTCCCCAAATCTCTGGCATATATCTTCCCACAAATCCTTAGAAGTATCAGCATAAATGAATGATTCTGCTATCTCCTTAGACATCGAGTTCAGCAACCAAGACAAAACCATCCAATCAACCTTCTTCCATGTCACATAATTCTCATCATTTTCATTAGGTTTTATCATTTCACCATTAATGAATCCAAGTTTTGTTTTCGCACCTAGCGCAATCATCATAGACCTTTTCCAAGAGAGAAAATTACCTCCGGTTAGCTGATTTGATACAAGCATCATACCAGGATGATCTGATCCGTGAAGCAACAAAGGATCCTGCTCCGTCCTCTTCAAGTTCGACGTACCAGCATTCAACAGCGGCCATGGATTATCTCTCCTCGATTCCATTGGAAATCACCTCAGCAAATCTCGACCTACTTCGTTCACAGCAAAAATCACTCAGCTGAAAAAAATCGAAATCGCGATTGTTTACCTGCTCTGATACCATGTTGAAGATCTTAGCTCAATCGAGAAGAGAGAGAACAGAAAACTGAAAATGATTATGGTCAACTAACTGTCCCGCTTCTCATTAATCACGTATTTAACATGCAGAGTTAAGTACAAGATGACACCGTTTAATCATAAAGGAAACGGTGTCGTATCAACCAAAAACTAA